GCTTCAAGTGTTCTGGCGAAGGTGGTCACACGAATATTTGACACAATTCTTGCACCGGTATAAGTGGGCTAACGTTACGCCAGAACCAAAAATTGGTGATGTAGCATTAATCAAGGAGGACGATATGCCTCCAGCAAGATGGTTGTTGGGAGTAATCATTGAGAAGCATACGGGTTTGGATGGACTCACGAGAGTTGTTAGTTTGAAGGTCAGAGGTGTCATAATAAAACGCCCAATTACCAAAATATGTATTTTACCTGTAGCGGTCTGAAATAATTTGGAGTTTATTTTACCTTTGTCACATGTAGTACGAACTTTTGTTTTTGTTATTTTTAATTTGAACCTTTTTTCGTTGATAACTTCATTATCAATACCGAGAGTTGTCTTTGAATTTTAAATTTGTGATTAATATGTATAGTAACGCAATACAAACGTGTAATCTAGTGTTAGTACGACAACATCTCCTATCATATTTGAATTGATATTCATTTTAAAAAATCACTGTATCTTAAAAGATTCATCTATCTTATTGTTAAGTTGATATATTTTTGTTAGAATTTGATCACAACCACTGCACTAAGCTAATGTATTATTATTTTTTGTATGTTTTGTTTAGTTTTAGTTTAATCCTGATCACTATGACTTAACCTCACATTCTATGCACCATTCGCTTAATACAGTCCACTTGTTTAACAAGTTATTTCATAGTGTGTAGGAAGATGAACATACTGTCCATGGTGGGCGGCATGTCCAAACGTAATAATATGTACATAAATATTGTATTTAGTTCTGATATTCACCAACGGATGGCGCTGTGCGATTTCTGCATTATGCTGAATCGCGCTATCGTTATATGTGGTTTTTAGTATAAGGTTTAAGATATTTTTTGAATAAATTGTCTTCGTCCTGGAATCGTGGAGTTTTGTTCACTTCCTATGGATGTTCGTAAACTTCCCCTTAAGAAATTTAATTTTTTTATTAAATCAAAATTATTAACTAAAGGATATTACAGGATATCCGATTATTTAAATGATAGAAACGCCTGGGATTGAGCTGCTCGCTTATACAGCTATGGCTTGTGTTTTTTTTAAGCTGTCTTTCACTTTTTTTTTTTTTTTGCATGTTGTACATATTTACAATCTGACATGTCTTGTGCTTTTGCATATGCATTTTATTTTATTCTATTGACATGTTTGTGCTTAGTGCATATTCATTTTTTTACATATTTTTTTCTCTACATTACTGACATGTTTTGTGCTTAGTGCATATTCATTTTTTCTTTTTCTACAATACTGACATGTTTTGTGCTTTTGCATACAATATTTTACACTTTGACATGCCAAGTGAATAATGTTTATATTACGATTATATTTTTCAATTTCATTATTTTTTCCTTGCTTTAAGGTACACCTTAAAAATACATTTTGTATCCATTGTAAGTGTAAACATTATGCGGGTATATCATAAACTCTTTTTCTTGATTTATAATTTGATACATTTTAGTATATAGTTATTTTGGGCTGGCGATCTGAGTGAGTTGTTGCCCCACATATTTTTATGGTGCCACTGGCGGTATTGCTGTGTACCGGGTTGTGCAGCTCCCTCAAAAATGGTTGATCTGCATGAGCTATTCGGGGCATGCTTGCCGTCTGCTGGCACAGGCTTGCTCAGATCGATCTGGTTCTTTCTTCCAAAGACCAGTCCAGTAAATACTCTGCATTTGTTTACACCAATTTATTAATTTATTATTGTATTATCTGGACTATAAAAGAGACTAAGACCCCCGAGTTTGTTTCGACATTTCTTCTCAGGGCAGTCAGTTAGGAAATGTCGACTTCATCTAGTTTAGGATGACATTGTAAAAGTGATTTATATAGTCCTACTTGCAAGAATAAACTATTTCATTTCATTTCATTTCATTTCAATAAATGATTTTGACTTTGACTTGTTTACCTATATGGATAAAGTTAGTTTGAGTGTTGAAAGAGCTAACCCTTGTAGAGGGATCTTTTGGGATATCGCTAGTTAATAGCGTAAATAGGAGGGGCGCGACGGCTCAACTTTAAGGGTACGGGCCGCTATCGGTCGTTGCAAAGACAGAATCATTTCCACGCGTTAACCCATAGAGCGGTCAGTCAAGAAATTGAGTACGAGATACATGAGTCATTTGTAACATTTACAAGTTATCGTTGAGTAATGAAGCATAATGCTGCACATATACAAGTTCTTATTTCACACCTGAAATTGGTGCCAGGCGAGAAGGTTTAGGTGACTAAGATAACCAAACCGAATGATTTAATTAATAAAATAACATTGTCATAGAACAAGAACTAAAGCATAGACATCGTGAAAAAAAATACACCCAATTCTCACTCATCACTATTTTAATTGGTCGTAAACTCGTTTATAAAATTTGGATGCTTGTTTTTAAGCCGTTTAGATACCATCCACTTAAATTGTGGTTCGTATACATTTTTGAAGTTATACTTCTTTAGGCGCGTTATGAAAAATTTATGAGAGTGAAATTTTACGATGCGCGCACACCGTGATACAAAATTATCAGTATGGGCGCCGAGCGTGCGCGAGCGAGATGGGAATAAGACAATCTACAAGTAAAAAGAAATAGAATATGCGTGACGTTAGCAGCTATGCCAAGAATTTTGAATGACCATAATGACATTTGTAGTACCTTTTAAACAAATAAAGGAGTTTTAGTTATTTTTTCAAAGAAATTGAGCAATGCTTTTTCACAAAGACCTATTGTTACTTAGTTAAAAGGTTATGAAACCTACCTAGTTATTAAATTGAATTAATAATAGGTATATTTAATTAATATTAAAATAATAAATAATTATTAATATTAAAATAATCAATAATTATTATTATTAATATTAATTAATAATTGAATAATGTACTAAATATTCAATATTGTTAAATTATTAACGCTAAATATTTATTATTAATTATTTAATATTAAAAAAAAATAAAGAAAGCCAAAGAAGTATAACTTTTTAAGGCCGGGTTATACTACAGCCACGCCGCGTGTCGCAACGCTGCCTGACGCACGGGCTGGTGATTATACTACAGTGTCGTGTCGCCGCGCGTGCTGATTCATTTTTGTGTCAGTTCAGTGGTGACCGCGTAAACGTCCGCATCTATGAACAATAATCTCTTCCGACTCAGATACGGATCTTGAAGAAGATATTGCCTGCCTATTTATGTTAAGCCAACTCAAGAAGAAAAAAAAATTGTTGGCCTATTTCTTCCCACGCTGCTGTTCTTATCAAATGGTCTTTATAATCTTTATTTTTAGGATCATATAAAAATTTATACTCTCTCACTAGCTCAATAAGTTCGTCAGCGGACATCTTGCGCGCGCTCTAAAATGTGGTAGATGTCTGCTTGCTTGCTCGTCAACACGCCGGAATGCGCAAATGCGCGTAGCCACGTGGCGATTATACTAGCGCAGAGCGAGCCAACGGGACACTTCCCCCCACTACCGAGCCCACGCCGATCGAAATCGAGCGATCTGCGTGGCTTCAGCTCAGTCGGCGACACGCGGGGCTGGGTTAATGTAACCACGTTCATACTAAATGTATGTAACCGATCGCAATCCCACGCGTTGCGACACGCGGCGTGGCCGTAGTATAACCCGGCCTTTACGCGCGTACATAAGTACACGCACCATTTTTTTTTTTTCTTAGAGGTCGTGATTTTGGTATCGTGACTTGATTTATGGATAAAATTGAAACTAAAAAGATAGAGGTCAAATATAAATCGATTTAAACTATCCTCGATTTCACCAACACAGTACTAAATAAATAAATTGTGCGTGTACTAGGCGTACACACGTAAGAAGTGAAACTTCTTTATGATCTTATTTTTCGAAAAATGATCTACTATATGCAACTTTACAGAAATTCGTTAAATTAGATAAAGTTTAACAAAAGGCTTTTATTATCATAGACATGAATACAAATATTTCATTTTACCTTATTACTACGAAGATTATTATAGAATTTCATTAATTGTAATAGAATTATTACTATCATTGAAAAACGTGACGATTTGCTACAAAATTTCTCCCATACGTCGATAAAGAAGTTTCATTCCAACGCCGATAAAGAAGTTTGACTTCAAAAAGCAACATGGCGCGTAACCGAAAAATGTGACGCGTAACGAAAAAATGTTACACTAAATTTTTTTCCAACCTCGATAAACAAGTTTCACTTCAAAAACTGTTGAAAAAAACATTATTGTTTCACGTCATATAAAATATGGTGTTTTCTTTTGGTGATAAAAAATTTCGAAAAAGTATGATACTATTCCACAAGAAAATAAAACACAACCAACACTGTTTATCTTCTTATGAAGTATTAGGAAGGTCTTAGAAAATATAATACATATTCCTCGGGCTTGCAATAAAATCACTTTTCGACAAACGTGACCCACTAACGTTAAACTTAGTTTAAAATTTGTATAAAAATGGTACCATACATATTCGTTTAGGGTTAGGTCGAAAAGTGATTTTGTCTCTAGCCCCTTATTTAGTCTGTATATTTTAAATTATATGTGACTGTGGTTAATTTATTACCTACTCAAAGTGCACAATATCCATAAATAATACTTCTGTAGCGTCTTTTATCTATGGGCAAACTCGCATTTGTAAAACAAATCTTTCTTCTCATTTTGTAATTTGTATTTTACGTAGGCGCATCTAGCCAATGCCCAGTAGGCAGCCAGACAGGCGTCTGAATGTAGTGTTCTACGCGTGTGATGATTTAATGACAAAATTTTTATATAATAGATAATTATTAATTTGGTGATTGCTTATGATTGATTATATGAATTTGTCTCGGACGTTTTCTTTGTAACAATTAATATCAGTTTTTTTCTCATCACGAAATGTTTACAAATTCTATTTCACTTGTGTAAGTCTTAATTTGTGCAACGGGCTTCTAAACATTATTGCCTATAAATCGGTTACTTTAGATTTCATGATGCCGACGGACTCTGAATGCGAGTGTGACTTAGTGTCTAAGGAGTGGCTGCTAGCAAAGTTGCGATCGGACGAGAGAGACACTATCCTGATAGATTGCCGTGGATCAAATGAGTATGCTGTGTCGCATATACGGTCAGCAGTAAATTTCTCGATACCGAGTATAATGTTAAGGAGATTAGCTGCCGGAAAGATAGAGTTGGCATCAACCGTTCAGTGCAAGGAATTAAAGGCGCGAATTACACATTGTTGTTCGAGAGGAACTTTTGTGCTGTACAGTGATGGAGCAACTCGGGAACCTGACTCGGTCCATGGCATCTTGCTGAAGCGACTTAAACAAGACGGAGTGAAAGTTGTGTGCCTAGAAGGTAAGACTCTTTTATTGTTTTGGATGATATTATATGCCCTTATATGTTAATATAGAAATGTACAATTTGTGTTTTGTTTCTTACATATAAAGTTCCTCTTGTTGTTCCTAGTATAAAGGTTCACTCACTGATAATATATGAAAAGAAAAGTATACCATTGTTTACATTAATTGTCATCCATTTAACTGATTGACTGATAATTTAAAGAGTAAAAAATGTAAAAGGTACCTGTTAAAGAGAGATAAATAATCATCTTGTGTAAAAATAATTTTCTGTTGTCAGATTTCAAGGATCAGGATAAGCATATGAATTTTTCATGATTATAGTAATTTATTTAACTGATTACATATAAGGCCTAGGCTCCTGATGTAGTAAGAACTGTATTTCAGAAATCTATGACTATTTATTAACAACTTTAGAGATAATTTTTTTCCTCTGCAGTTTAGGATAAATTATATTAGTGGCATCATCATAATCGTGTCAATAAAATAGTTGTTCATTCTATGCAGTGACTTTTAATTAATTATAAAAGAAACCTTTATGCAAAATTTATGTTTTCTGACGATGTTGACAAAAAAGCACCTTTTTCTCACACCTTATTTATGAAGACAAGTACTCAATAAAATGCTTTTATTTGATCATAGAAATAATAGTAAACAACTGCCTCATTAGGATGGCATGCACTTCACACGGTTTACAAGGCCAAAAAGTAGCCAATGGTGGTTATATCAGAATCACGATAACTGAATAAAGAGGATAGAGATATAAAGTTTTTATTAATAAAATGGTTGTAAACTAATGTTGGTTGGCATAGTGGCATATTATATCAATCATATTATGTTGAGATTGCCATCTGTTCATTTTAGTGTTCATTTTTACATTAAAATGAACAATAATTAAGAATAGGTTAAATCTACCAAAATCAGCAGAAGTAAGACAGTGTAAGACATTTAATTAATTTTCTCAAAAATGATGTCACTCTCTGGCTCACTGGCAGTAGAAAATTAAACATAGACTATGGAATTTATCTATTATAAGTAAATAAATAATTTAATGATTTGTGCATACTATTATACAGCATAATCTGACTGAGTTACAGACTTAATTTGTGAAGCCAGGGAGCATAACACAACTTAATGTCATGCTCTCTGCATGAAATTAAAAAAAAGAAATGTCATAATGTAAATAAAAAACAGTGTACTGCAGTTTAAATATAAGGCTACCATTATATGTTGTCTCATTTTTAAACAGTAATAATAATAGTGGAGGTCTATAACTATTATCTAAGGAGCATCCGCCGCCCGTCTGCCAAACGTGGGAGAGGAAGCCTGCTACTTATTGTGCTCCACAATGCGAGACGATAGATTATGATCGCCGTTCTAGCTCGAACACGTCCACGTTTCCGACCATTACATTTTATGCTGCTATGAATAATAATGCTATGTCGCATTATTATTTCAAAATAAATATATAATGTATATCGAAATTGTATTTAAATGTGTGAATTAAGGTCTTTATTTTGCCTTTTCACTGAATTCCGAATGAAAGTAAAGTCAAAATTGGTTACCGGCTAGTAATTGATTAAAAATAATTACGTGGTAGTAGCATACTGACGTTGTCCAAAATACATTATTTTAAAAGCAACTTCCATGATGACATCTGCCTTAGATTAATACGATGGAAAATGAAATCTTTATGGAACAAGTTTCTGTCGCCATTAGAATCAGTGTTTCTGCAGTCAATATATAATGGGTAATGATACGTTGGGCGTCGTTCATCTGCAAGGCGATATTGGATGCCGACTGGTGGATGAGGCCACTAGAGCAGCATTCGTTGATACGGTTATCTGTGGCGCCACGTCTATTATCATTCGAAAACTGAGCAGACTTATAATTGGTCCTATATTCTTAGAAACGCAGCTATTGCTCTATAATCTATTAATCTATATCTATCTAACCATACTTATAATAAAGGCTTTTGTAGCGATCTTCATCAAGATGCAGTTTAAATCGGGGAACATATTGTCTATTTATTAAAAATCAATGTCAAAAGAAAATTATATTCGCTATCGTTCGCAGTATGTGGTCATCCTTACTTCTCCCCTAATGTACTACACACTAGTTGTAGTCGCCTTTCGCGTTACCTCACTATAAAGAATGAGCTTTATTCAGCATTTTTGCCGGTTCACTCTTTCGCCCTCTCAACACCATCGTTTATTTTCGTTTCAATACAACATCCTAAATGTTCAAGGCATCGTTTCTTAGAAGCCGATCCGGGCGTATGACGTCAATGTTACGAAGCTTGTTTAATAAATGTCTATTTTTATCTTAACATTGTTCCCTTTAAGGGTTGACTCTCGAGGAAGTCGTACCTAAGGTGGCTTGCGTCAAGACCGACATATAATACCCGTTTCCCAAGTTTACATTGGACAATTCAAAGCGAAAGAAAAATGCAGTAGTATGAAGTAAATTGTTATTTTGACGACGTAATCTTCGTCGTTTTTATTTGTCTCTTTAATAATAATAGTGGCTTATATTATAGTTATATTGTGGATTAAGCGCAAAACACAAGGTTGTATGGGTTCCAAGGCCTCGGCTCGACGCCCACCCGCCCACTACCACGCCGTCTTTCTCGTTGAATTTACAGTTTAATGTGTTATGGTTATCATTTGTTATTATGTGATTATTATTTTAGGGAATTCGGATATATATTTTTTTCGAGGCGGGCGAAAAGTATTGACCTAAATACTTGCTTTTATAGAATTATTTGCAATTAATTTACTATGAGCAACATGTTTAGCCACCTAATATGGCGAACGGGGCGGGTGTTTTCCATCACCGCTCCATTTAGCCGTTAGTTTCACTTCCGCGATATAATTGTGGACGTTCGTCGAAATTGATTTCCTGTTTTCCACGAATTCTATTTGAGAATATCGATGTTATTTAAAATTTGATACGAACCAAACGTGAAGTTTGTTCAACGTGGGCGCGAAGTAGTTCAGATCGAGATCCACCCGATGAGGGGCGATGGGTGGTATAAACGGAGTCCTCGGTGGCGAGGACACCGCTCGGAAATACGTTTGGGCGTGGAGGGGGCTTACGGCGTTCATTGAGCGCGGCAGATGAATGGGACACGGTGAGTCACGCGATCGATGAAAGAGTCCCGCGCATGCGCTCTCCGCTCTCCACTCTGTGTCAACTGATGAATTAGGCAGCTCTATTCTGACACTAGCGTATTACATTGCCCACATCAATGTAATACGCACACAAAAGGTGTATGTAAGGGCCAGACTCACATCAGCGTCTGTATCATTGAATAAAGCACTCTTGAACACTGGGCTCACTATGTTCGCATTACCTCAACACGTACCTTGATAAACAATATTTACAATTAAAACAATGTAAATCAGTTTGCTGTGAATGAACATGAAAAGTTTTCAAGATCAAAGATCGGAAACAATTGTTTAATATTTTGCCATTAAGCTAGTCATCATTTTTCGGAAAATATAAGTCAAATTTTATTGCTCAATGACGCAATTGAACTGCCGCACACAGTTCATATCGCTATACGAAAAAAGGTGTATTGCTGTATACTCATGTGTCTGTCTAATAAGTTTATTTTATAAATAAACCATCCAAAATTATACAACGCTTTAGGCGTAGGCATATTATAAGATGATATCGTCCTGTGATACAACGTATCTATCTATCTCTAATGAGAAATGGAGTACAAGGCGTCGGAAGAGCCCCGAAGTACCGGACGCGGCCTGACGTTCGATTGGACGTGATCAAGATATAAAATGTTGTTTAATTTTCTATCCTATGTGACTTTCTCCATAACATCATATTAAAGCGAAACGTGTTCTTTGCAGGTGACTTCGCGGAGTTTCATCGGACATATCCCGAGTGGTGCAGCGAAGCGGGCGGTCAGCATCTGCCTCACTTGCCACTCATGGGACTGCGGTGAGTAAAAATTAAAGGCACGCATACATAGTGAAAAGGCGGTGGCTTCGTGGGAAAGCGATTTCTACGCGTGGGAGTCGGCATTCAGTTCATATTGGAAAAGCGTGATACAAACATTCATAAATGTCAAAATAAACATAGGTTCAGAACGGGTTATGTGTAAGTAAATGAATATAGTTAAACGGTTAGGTGTGGTGTAGTGCGGCGTAATGCGTGGTAATAATAGTTCCAATTGACACTTGCACGTGTCGATTGATACTGGAAGGTGACTCGTAGATTACGTAGCTATGAAATATTCCATTCACAAGTGTCGGCTCCGATGTGACTAGTTTTTGTATTTACGCGTTACGTTATCGCTCGGTTCGATTAATTAATATTTATTGAGTCTCAATTATTTAAAGTAAAAATAAAGTTGCTTCTGAACTTTCCCATTTCGAAGAGCGATAAATGAAAGTGAACACTGGACAACATTACTTGAAGCAATCATTATATTGACTAGATAGTTTTTAGTCTGTTGGCTCGGCTGAGGGTTGCCGACCCTGGTTGAGGGCCGATGGCGCATTGCAGTCGCCACTTGACATTAATAAAGCTTATTTCTATTAGCCTACGTCGTTAAGAGCCTGGCCTCTCATTGAGTCAACTATTGCGTTAGAGCTACGCTACATTGGTGCGCCTCGCAATTATCGCCGTTCACTATATTTTAGGCTTTTACCGGCATTATGAAAATTTTTCAAATCAATATATATTATTCGGGATCTTCCGAGCTTCGACGCCTACGTACGTTCATGGAACTGTTCATGGCTATAAATAGATCTTTTTAAATTGATATTGCCTCCCACGAACGCTGTAAGGTGAGGCCTACACCGGGCATTTCAAACTAATTTGTAATAATTGTGACATTTTATTAGATTTTATAAGGATTTTGATAACTGTACGGTGGACTAGATTTATTACAGGTATCGTGGAACCGAAAATTAATAGAGAAAAGTGTAAATGAGGATTCTATTCCAAGTCTTACGTTGTCTAATTAAAGTCTTATGCACGTGACAATTAATAGGCCTGTTGAGGTTTATCACTATCATTTTGAGAGCAATCGCGCTATCATAGGTCGATTAAAACGCTCAAAGAGCGAAAAAACGCGACGGAAGTATGTTAATTATGTGAAGAGTGAGAATGGTTGTAAAAAATATAGTCGTTCCGCTCGTGGCATTGTTTATGTTTGCGCTCGGTTTGCTAATGTAGGTATCTGCTCAAGGCTGAACCGTGCAACTCATTCATTTGTCGCCGCTCGTCGTGAACGAGATAATAAAGGCGTCAAAGTTATTTGGTAACGTAAATGATGTCATTATTTATTTATCTTCCATTCACTACTACTCCCGTGAATAAGCCACGCAAACTAATTTTAATATCATCTTTCATTACTTTTATTTTAATAAAGGCAAAATGGGGCTTGGTCCATATTGCTTGTATTATACATACAACATCTTAAGGGACACCGTGCTAACCGCACACACGCGCAATCCGAATAAACGCGACGAGAACTTCTTTGTCCGATTTCGCTCGTTAAAGCCCTGACAGGATGGAAACTAGTAAGTGAGGCATTAAAAAAGCCCTCGCAGGCGGTCATTGGCGTCGGGCGGGTCGGGCCACATTCCTGTGCGCTGGCGCACCGCACGCCTACACATACCCCGCGCGCTGCCCGTCCGACCGATAGCGACGGCGTTTTCCTGCTACCGATTGACCCGTTCGAGATGCACATCCAACTTGGCCGCTTTGGCGAGCCACTTGACACGTTATAAGACTCGCTCATTAATAACACGGGCGAGCTGTGTGCGGCTTCCGGTACGCGCCCTGCGCCGTTCTAATGCAATGACCTAACAGTTTGCTAGCCGTTTAGCTCCCAAGTTCTCACTGACTACCTAACTACCTATGCCTTGTACACGTTCGTAGTCACTCACTCGTCTGGTCAGTGAGAATTAAAAATAAAATAATTAGAACGTAAAGATATTCATTTCTGGTTTGTTCAACTCGTGCCATAGGCGCGATCGGTGTCGTCGGCGTTGTGTTTAGCAGAATATTAACAACAAAAATGAGCACCGCTAATTAGGAAGGTATTAGCAGGCCTCGACACATTCATGGAGTTCATGTGGGATGGATTCTATTGAACCGGAGTCGCACGGCGTAATTAAATGGCGCGTGGGCCCTGGCGGGTTGTCGCCTACGCTCTGCCCACACCGCACGCCCGATTGCTGCTTTTTATTGACATATCCATCGAATGCTCCCCAAACCGATGCCATGCTCATTGCGGTAATAATTATTCAAAAAGTGCGAATGCAAGCGGTAACAAAGACTGCTATTGCAACATTGACAACTACTAGCGTAAAGCGAGATATTGGTAGCCTGAAAATTAAGGACAGTGAACTAAACTTTGTTGACAAAACGGTTTTTCTAGGAATAACAATAAATAGTAAACTCCAGTGGGGCCCACACATAGAGACTCTTTCGAATAGGCTGAGCTCTGCAGCATATGCAGTAAAGAAAATCCGACAGTTAACTGATAAGGACACGGCTAAAATTGTGTATCATAGGTACTTTCACAGCGTTATGTCGTACGGTATTCTACTGTGGGGTGCTGCTGCAGAGGTTCAATCCATATTTGTGCTGCAGAAGCGGTCTGTTCCGGGTATTTGTTGTGTTTCTCTGAGGGAGTCGGTACGGAATAAGTTTAAGGAAGTAAATATTATGACACTATCTGGTCAATATATTCTTGAAGCCTTGTTGTATGTCCAAAAAAATATAAACGATTTTAAAACAAATGGTGACTTTCACCAGTATAATACGCGAAATAGAACTAATTTGAGTGTACGACCAACCAGGCTCCAAAAGATAAACCACTCCTTATATGGAAATTGTATTCGTTTTTACAACAAACTCCCAAGCGAAATTAGAGAATTATCACTAAATAAATTCAAAGCCCTCGCTAAACGTAAATTTATCAATAAAGCTTTTTATAAATTTGATGAATACTTAAATGATCCTAATCCTTGGGATTGATTTGCTCCAGTTCAAACAATTTCGTATGACAAATGACTTGGCGATTAAAAAGAGTGGCGGAAAGTTTCTTGCCAGTTCTTCTTACCCGCTCTACGCCCTTGACTTGCGAACTGGTAGGAAATGTAAATTTACAATTAATTTAACTTCTTTTTGACAATTCATAAGTGTACTTGTTTACCTATATGAATGAAGATATTTTGAGTTTGATGTTGTTGCAGCAAATTGTTCAAAATAGACTTATCAGTTAAACCCGTAGGTTTGCACGAACTCGCCTTCTTTGATTGTTTTTAAAATGGCATAACTACTGAATGGAGGCGAGACAAGGGAGAGGGCGAATTCGGAAAGGTATCGCGTGGGAGGAGACGCGTCGGCGGCGAGAGGGAGAAAGGCGTGGGCGGCCATTGATCCACGAGAGGGGCCCGGGGGCGCTGAATGGAGACCCTCCGCCCCCATTCAGCGACCTCCATCGATCGCCGCCTGCTCCCCTCCCCTCGCTCTTCGCCCGAGCCCGTGGCCTTAGCCGATGAAACGCTTATAACACATAGACTTTTGAGTAATTGTTAAGTGATATCCATTATTATCCACCATAGTAAAGGTCCTTCCGTCGCAGGTCGCTGCGCATCTCGGGCGCGGGATGCGACGAGGCGCTGTCTTCGGGGTCGTCTTCGGAGTGCGAAGAGACGCACGCGCCGCAAGACTTCCCCGTCGAGATCCTGCCCAATCTATTCCTCGGAAATTCCGCTAACAGCGAGGACTGCGAGGCGCTCGCCCGCCACAACATTAAGGTACCCCGAGGCCCGAAGAAGATTTATTAATAATTATTGTCATTAATTCGCTAATGTAATATGCCCGATCGTCTTTTGCAGTATGTGCTGAACGTGACCCCCGACCTGCCCAACACGTTCGAGCAGGGATGCGGCATCAGCTACCTCAAGATCCCCATTGCAGACCACTGGAGCCAGAATCTGTCAGTGCACTTCCCGCAGGCCATTCACTTCATCGGTGAGCTAAAGATCGGTCGCCGAATTAGGAAACGCTCCATTAATTTAGTCCACATTTCAATTTCACTCGTTGATCGCGCAGAAGAGGCGATGTCGGCCGGCTGCGGCGTGCTGGTGCACTGCGTGGCCGGCGTGTCCCGCTCCGTGACCGTGACGCTGGCCTACCTCATGCAGCGGCACCGGCTTTCGCTGCGGGACGCCTTCGAGCTGGTGCGCTCGCGCAAGACGGACATCGCGCCCAACTTCCACTTCATGCGGCAGCTGCACTCGCTGGAGCGGGACCTGGGCCTGCACGAGCGCTCCGCCCCTCTGAGTAAGGTCCGCGCTCGACATCCCTGCGACCCTCGCTCCGCGCCAGTACCGCCGCCCTTCGGTCCGCCTACAGTCCGCGCTTGTGCAGGTGCTGGAGGAGACGGGCGCGCGTGAGCCCGCCGAGCGCTGCGGCTGCGACGGCGCCGTAGGCGTCTCGCCCGACTCCGGCATCGAGTTCGACCGCTGGAGCGCCGCCCGCGACACGCCGCGCTGACCCTTCGCCCCCCGCTCCCCGCGCTCCCCGAGGGACGCCTGTCCTCCGTGAGGACGCCTCGTCGCTTTTGTATTTAGCTGAAGTCACTAGGTGACACCGTCTGATGCGCGGGAAGACCGGAAGACGGATGCCATACGAAGCGATGTTTTGTTATTCCATTATTTCTCTGATTAGCCAACCTGCAGACCGTCCGGTTACATTTCACTGTGTTTCATTCGAAAATAAACAAAAATAATTTTAATAATATTCTATTTTATGTAATTTTATTGAATTGCAGAATTGTATGTATTAAATAGCATCGGCCGCGCGCGCATCCGTCTTCCGTCCGGGCGACGACAAGTTCCGATGCATTGAAAGGATATATTTTTAATTAACGGAGTGCTTCTGACGATTCTTCCGCTGTTGTCGCGTGTTCCTCGAGGTACAGTCGCCGCGTAAAGGCCGCCGATTCATTCCGTTCGCCCGCGCGGCACTCGTCTGTACCTCATCAGTTCGTCTCTTTATTTTATTCGAGAGTATATTGACGAAGATAGATAGAAAGTTTATTTTTTTACTCGTGTTCCTCAATTCGATCGTGGGAAATGCCACACCCGTCGACGAATGTATTTTAGCCAATTCTAGGTTTCGCTAGTGAACATGTATTTTTGTATTCCGACGACTGCGTTTCCCGTTTAATATATTTTTCTATCACAAAGTTATACGAGTCGGTTCGTCTGTTACGTGTGTAAATAAGACAAGCTTTAACATTAAGTATCTTAATAAAGTAGTAAATTGTTACAAATTGTAAATTTGTTATAGTTTAAGAAATATTATTGAGATTCAGCTTTCCATACTTTCCTCTCGAACGTCCGCACAGACTAGATTTGATTATTGTTATTATTATTAGGAATAAAGCGGAGAGCGGACGTTCGAGCGTCCGGGCGACGCGACCTATCAGAGCTCAGTTGCACGTTGTTATTGAATTATATAAATTAGTGCACAAAGTCGCTCAGACCCGACGTAGCTCGTCACGTCACAGGTGACGATATTCTTGTACCCGTGTATGATTACAATTTAAAAATATATGTATAGTACGTTGACCCGAGAAGTTTGCTTTTTCTGCGGCGCCATTGCCGCCTGACACCCGTGACATTGTTTACCTCGGACGAAGTATTAAACGCTGTTGAAAAAGATTTTATTTATTTTAAAAAGGCAGGATTAATGGCACACGTCGAACATATATCATTTACAAAAAGAGTAAATAGGACAGGACCCAGATGAGAACCTTGTGGAATACCTGTGGTGGAAGTGTATGATCGCGATTCTATACTGACTGAAATTCTAACTGATGTAATGTTAATAAACATGCCCGCCTATTAGTGTTGCTTGCTTTTGGCACAGAAACCATTCTGTGCCGTTTCCATAAAAACATAATACTAATAATAATTTATAGCAAGAATATGGTACAAAATTGTGTAAGGTGGTACAATCGTAAGTTCGCATATTCTGCCACACACGATGGCGCGCAAATTTGTCTTTAAAGGAATTTTACACAATTAGTCATGAATTGGTCAGTTCTTATATTATTTGTATCGTACATATCATATGTTATTAAATTTATATCAACTACAGTGTCTCACGCAAATAATCATTTATTGAATAATACATTTTTTCCAAAAGTAATACACCAAGTCGATTTTTAAAGACTAGTCGGGAGATCTTAAAATTATTTTGGTAAATTATTGTAAACCTTAATGGCCATACAAAAAAGGTGTTTTTCCTAAACAGTTCACGATTGATTTTCGGCACAGCCGATTTCTCCCCGTGTCTACTTCTTACTTCGACTTCTACATTTGACTTAAAAATGTGTAGAACTAAGCAAATATGGGCTACCATTTTGTTTTTGTCTCAAAAACAAAAAACTATTAAAAAAATAACAATTTATTGACGTCATAATACTCACATACACATTTTTAAAGAGCTAAGTAACAATCTTATGTTCTTAATATTGAAATATAATATTATTAAATTGAGCATTAAACAACATATCAAAATAGACACTAAATATGGAACAGGTACTCATATATGGGCTACAAATACAAACTTATCTTGTACGAAAATAACAATTATAAATATTTATCTTACAAGTGATAGGGATACAATATCGACATTATTCTCTCTAGCCAAGTCTATGACATCAATGTTTCTGGTGTGGCTGAAGTATCCATCTAATATCAGTAAAACTCTTGAGTCTGGTGTGTATGCTTTATGAAGTGTTTGAACCAATTTGTTAAAATATTTATTTGTATCAAACCTGATAGATGTGCAACTCCTGCAGCTCCAGGAGGACAACATCTCATCAGTTGTAAGTTCATATTTATATATTTTGGCCGGTTCATCAACGTTGGAGACAGGATCTGCTGAATAGTTATTTTTCTGACGTTCCCGTATAGGTCGGTTATCGAAAGCTGGCGCGTTCACAGTACTCACACTAATGCAATTTCACTATACAGTATGTTTAAAAATATGACTTTTTTGCTTAGCTATATTTAGTCTACTCTGGTTTTAGTAAGGTTGGGTGGGTTGTAAATAAATAAAAATGTGTCAAATACATATAAATATTATGTGCATACGAGGGTGGATCAAAAGTTCTAAGCCCGACCAAGAACGTAAAAGAGTAGTTTGTGTGTCTAGCTCAACACACTTCACTTTTACTTCACTAACAATTCTTTCAATACTCCTCTTAGAAACACCAGTCGCATCTGATGTCAAATTAAAAATTACATTTTTTCATTAAACTGTTTTTATTAAGATGCTTAAAATAATTAAAAACATTGTACACCATTTCACGAGATTGTCCTGTTAATGTTTAGACGGAATATATTTCATAAGACATTTTTTTCAAAGTATTCTAACCTCTAACCAAATAAATAAACAATCACAGACTAAATAATAATGAGAAAAAAGATCAACATGTACAGTAAAAAAATATAGGAATAGTAAAATTTAGAGTAGTAACTGACAATTGGGATGTTATTGTTTTACATATTTTAAGTTCAAAATTAGATACTAAGTCTAGAGAGTTATGGGAAATTAAAATTTGTAATTTAACAGATGAATTGCCAATATTAAATCAGTTTTTTGAATTTTTAGAGCAAAGGTTTAGGTCACTTGAATTTTTAACAAACAAACCAGTCAAAAGCACTCAATCTCATCATGTAACTTTAAATGAAAAATCTAATTGTGTCTTTTGTTCAGATAGTACCAATAAACTAGGAAATTGTAAGAAATTTGCTAAGGGTAACTTTAAAACACGTAGTGAGTTTGTCCAAAGTTCCGCCTTATGCTTCAACTGTTTAGGTGCTAATCATTCGGTTGTAGAGCGTCGTTTGCCCACCAGGTGTAAGAGTTGCAAACGAAAACACCATTCACTTTTGCATTGCAACGCTAGTGTATCAACAGATAATGCATCAGCTAACAACCAATCACCAGAAGATATCAATGTTGTTGCAACGGCAACAACATCGAAACCAGACGAGACCAACATTGAAAATAGTACCACTTGTTTTTCTAATACCAGAAAACAAGTTCTATTGGCAACAGCCCTCGTAAGGGCCAAAAATAATTCTGGATCAAGTATGACACTGCGAGCCTTATTAGATCAGGGCTCACGGGCTTTATTTATTACGGAGTCTGCAGTCCAGTTGCTGGGGCTAAAGAAAATCAAAAGCAACAGTGTCATATCTGGAGTTGGAGGTGACGGCAATGCCCCAATTGATTCCAAGTATGTAGTTCAGATTAATCTGCAATCAATTCAAGATGAATCATTTACTCTTTGTGTAACAGCTCAAGTTCTCAAAAACTTCATTCCTCCCTGTAAAGGAATTCGTTGTCCATCTGTGGCCAAATCTACCAAGGATGAAGTTAGCAGATCCATATTTTAACACTAGGCTGGGTTGGATCTTATCTGGAAAAACTTCATTCCTACCTGTAAAGGAATTCGTTGTCCATCTGTGGCCAAATCTACCAAGGATGAAGTAAGCAGATCCAAATTTTAACAAACCAAGTAATATTGATATGTTGCTTGGTGCTGATGTCTATTGTCAAATTATAGCTGAGGGTCTAATGAGAGGACTACCAGGAATACCAATAGCTCAGAACACTAGACTAGGTTGGATCTTATCTGGAAAAATCGAGAACGATCATCACGACCAACATGGTTTAGGTTGCGAAAACATATTAACAATGCGCACTCAAAATAACAATGATGATTTTAACTTTAAACAATTTTTGAGAACTTGAGTCTGATAACTTTAACCTTCAAAGAACTCACCTCACTCCTGAAGAACAAAGATGTGAAGACATCTATAAAGAAACCACGAAGCGAGACCATCGGGAAATTATATATCGTTAAACTCCCATTCAGAGATGTCGACCTGGCTACAAAATAAAGTTATAAATTACGAAAGGAAACCACATACAACGACACCATATCATCCATCCATACCAACCATCCATACCCGACACTAATTTAGAAGAAAAAATCAAGAAAGGTTACCATATAGTAGAAGAGATAGAATTGAAATTGTGGAGCAAATATTCATCAATGAAAAAACTTTTACGAGTCCTAGCTTATTGTAACAAATTTATCAAAAAGTTAAGGAAATTAACAAATGAATATCCTACTTGGTTAACTAGTCGAGAATGAAATGAAGCTTTACTTACCTGTATTAAACAATGTCAAAGGAAATATTTTTCACAAGAAATAAGCGATTTAAAGTTGTAGGGAACAGTAAATAAGAAAAGTAAACTCACCACATTGAATCAGTTTCTTGACAAAGAAAATGATATTTTGAGAGTTGGTGGCCGGCTTGACAGAGCTACAAAGCACCTTCGCAGACGCGTCATAGTCAGCGCAACCCTAACTTACGAAGAGATCACTACCTTGTTGCACCAGATAGAAGCTTGTCTTAATTCGAGACCCTTGTCTCAACTTAGTAGCGATCCTCAGGATCCGACTC